TTCACGTCTTTGTGCAACCTATTTATTTTTTATTTAGTTATACTCGAATCAAACACCTGTTGAAAATTCACAAGTCGTTATCGGGAAGAGAATACAAATAAAAGACTGAAGATCGTTGTCTGATACATAAAGAATTTTATCTAAAAGGTCATAATATTGATAGCAAATATTTTAGTGATGCCATATAGTAGTTTTTTCTATTTTTTTTTTTTTTTTTTTTGTAAATCAATTTTCTCAAAAATGGCAACAATGCGACAAAGACGCAAGAGAGAGACTGAAAAGATTTGAGAAGGAACCGGAAGCCCGATCCTAAACAGGAAACAAGAGATAAACCCCTACTCCTGTTCAAAAGACTAGAGAGGGAGTGTGAACCGTACAACACGAGCTCATACCTACTCCTAAGGAGGAGAAAAAAAGAAAACAAAAGTAATTAGTAAACAAAATTTCAGAGTTCAGATATAGACGTTAGAAATATAGAGATGACGAAGACTTTAGACGGGGCCGGGAAACCCGTTTTAAACAGGGAACAAGTGATAAACCTCTACTCCTGTTTTAAAAAAAAACCGGGCGTTAGGCAAACCTATCTACTATCTATTAACATTTCCAAGAAAAAGATTTAGTATCTTATTGCCCTTTTCCCGATTTCTTTTAAAATGTTATGTACCTTCAGGATTTAGCGGATCATAACTCTCCACACATTCTTTTTCGTCATTATCTTTGAATTGCCATGTGTTCTTGGGAAAAAATAATTGAGTGTTTTTTTTTTCATTGCCTTCCCCCGATTTGAATTAAGAATTTCCTTCTTTTAGACTGCTTGCCATTCTAAGTCCACTCTACTCTGCTATTTAGCCCATAGCTAGGGAGAGAAGAGACGGATCCATACCTTTTCCATAGTGCGAAAATAAATGCAACTGACTAACCCGGAATTTGAACTCGTCTCATTGTTTCCGCGCTGATAATCGCTATCCGTACAAACGATTTTTTTTTATTAATGATGTCCTTTTCATAGCAAATAAATGTAAAAAAAAATACATTGGTACGCTAAAATAAATATGTGAGTAGGCTGAAAGACTCGATCCGATCTACTTCCCAAGATCTGACCAAATACCAAAGAACTATATGAGACGTCTTCTATTTTTTTTTGGGGGGGTGCAGAATTTTCAGCACCCTGTTGATATAAATAGCCTCACGTAAGGATAGAACTTGATGCTTTTTGCACAGTGAGATATGTTAAATACGTGTGCGTCACGATAGGGCTTACAAGTATCTAAACCTCAGTAATCATCGTATAGTTAATAGGCTGCCAAACGGGGATCAATTCTAAATGCTGCAGAGGATGGTAGCAGAAGCTTCTTTGTTCAAAAGTCAACTTTGTACTTCAAAAATTTAAATGGAATGTCAATCGCTATTTGCTGTCTTCTTGATTTGTGTTATTCGGGGCAGTGCGCGTTATCTAGCCAACCTTCAACTGTCCAAACAAGGCCGCCATGCTCAAACCCTCGATCACGACGACTTATGACTTCGTGCTCGGGCAACCATCGACGGGTTCCATCTATCCGATTACACTCACAAGGCTTTGGTCACACCGTGGCATGGTTCCAAAGGGTCCACACGCTGGGATTGTCACCTTCAGACCCATGACATCAAGAATTCGCCTTCCTGAAAAATCGACCATGGTCAGAAAGTGAAAGTTGTAACCACTCCAATCAATAATCATGTCATTTATTCATAATTAAAATGTCGAGACTTTTATCAACTTACGGTGTTTATCAAAGGCCTACGATATTTATCAAAGGTTTAGAGTGTTTATCAAAAGCCTACGGAGTTTATCATAGGCTTACAGTGTTTAGCAAAGGCCTACGGTGTTTGCCAAAGGCTTACTTGGTTTATTAAAGATTTACAGTGTTTATCAAAGGTCTACGGTGTTTATCAAAGGTCTACGGTGTTTATCAAAGGCCTACAGTGTTTATCAAAAGCCTACGGTATTTATCAAAGGGTTACAGTGTTTATCAAAGGCCTACGGTGTTTATCATAAAGCCTACGTTGTTTATCAAACGCCCACGGTGTTTATCAAAGGCCTACGGAGTTTGCCAAAGGCTTAATTTGTTTATCAGTTTTACAGTCATTATCAAAGGCCTACGGTGTTTATCAAAAGCCTGCGGTGTTTATCAAAGGTTTACAGCGTTTATCAAAGGCCTACGGTGTTTATTAAAGGCTTACTGTTTTTATCAATGGCCTACGGTGTTTATCAAAGGCCTACGGTGTTTATCAAAGGCTTACGGTGTTTATCAAAGGCCTACGGTTTTTATCAAAGGCTTACGTTATTTATCATAAGGCCTACGGTGTTTATCAAAGGCTTATGATGTTTATTAAAGGCTTACGGTGTTTATCAAAGGTCTACAGTGTTTATCAAAGGCCTACGGCGTTTATTAAAGGCTTACGGTGTTTATCAAAGGTCTACAGTGTTTAAAAAAGGCTTTCTGTGTTTATCAAAGGTCTACGATGTTTATTAAAGGTTATTTCGCCAAACCAACATTTGTTTGTTTACGTTGCAAAATGAAAGAATGTGGAAAATAAGAAACCTGCACCCACTTTTTGTCTCATCGCTATTTATTTAACCAAGCAAATCTTAGATCAACATGCATCTCTTCTGAAATATAAAATGCAACTTTTTCTTTATCTTTTCACCCCAAAGCAAGGCAATAAAGCCACTAAAACGCAAAGGGTTATTGAGTGTTAAAGAATCAGAAAAAAAGATAAACATTCCTAAGAAACGAAAATAATAAAAAAATGAGTAATAAGCAGACACTAGATAACGATTGCCATTGCATTTAAATTTTTGAAGATATCCGGAAAGTAAGAAACCGGAAGTGAGTTCCACAGTTGAGAAGTGCGAGAGAAGAAAATGTTAGCATAGAACTTACGGTTACAGTTTGTCTTTTTGTTATCTCTCCTAATCCCTGTTCTGCCAGCTATTTACACAAGCTCTTTCTTCTTCTTCTTCTTCTTCTTCTTCTTCTTCTTCTTCTTCTTCTTCTTTGTGTCAAATCCCTTCAGGACAGTAGCGATCATGGTTCTTCACAATTTTCTGTCCGTTTTATCCCTTAGTAAAGTTTGTTTTTTGTTAGCTCTCGTAATCCCTTCAATATGTCGTGTGAGTGCCAAATTTTCCAAGCCCTCTTTTTTCATTATATACCCTAGAAATTTCAGCTCTATCTGATGTTAAATATAATTGTCTCTTTTGTTTCCCTTTTCTCTAAATTTTCGTCGTTGCTTACGGGTTCTATCCAAAGTTTTCTCAGAATCCTTCCGTAGAACTATATATCTGTTGCTTCAAGTCAATTCTTCATCTCTGTTGTGATTGTCCAGCATACGCTGCCATATAGCAGGACTGATATTACGTAACAGATCGGTACTCTTTTCTTTGTTTCTGTTGCTTCAAGCCTCTTCTTCATCTTTGATGATATTGTCCAGCATTCACTGCTATATAAGAGGACTGATATTACATAACAGTTCATTACTCTCTTTTTTGTTTCTGTTGCTTCAAGTATCTTCTTCATCTGTGTTGAGATTGTCCAGCATTCACTGCCATATAGGAGGACTGATGTTAGACGACTCATTTCTTTGCTTCTAACAATATTTCTCCATTTCTTAATGCTTTGCTTAGCTTTTGAAAGATATCTTTCTCTATCCCAACATGCCTTCGCATTTCGATGCCGCATTTTCCGTCCGCTGTTGAAAAAAACTGTTATGGGACCTTACCCATAATAACATAATCGACTATTCCATACGTAATAAATACTGCGCCTCAAGAGGAAGCAGGGAGTTCAGTCTGAAGTCGGGCGACCGGCTGATCGGCTGATCGGTTGAACTCTCTGCCTTCGGGCGGGGAGGAACCCGAACGAGGCTACGCCGAAGGGCGGAGTCTCTTTCGGGAGGTAAACCGACCCTGAACCCGTTTATACGGGTTCAAAGGGCATATTTTTGGCCGAGTCCACGGGCTCGGAGATCCCACGTTAAACTTGTGCCACATGACGCCTTCGTGGGGAGGAGGGTGACTAAATACAGTTCAGTCCGAAGTCTGGAGTGAAGCCTGAAGTCTGGAGTGAAGTCCATCAGCAGTCTGTCAGTCAGTCAGAGCGAGTGAGTCAGTCAGTCGAGTCAGAGGCAGTCCGAAACAGAGTCACGTTCAGACAAGTACTACTAAACCTGATTGTTCGTACTAACACTTTCTACCTCTCTGTATATATTCCTGTTTGTAATATATCTGTGTTATTCCATATCCATATTCGAGTTCTTCTTTATTGGTTCTACTTTGGACTATCACCGTGGAACCGGACCATAACAAAAACTTAATTCCATTTGTTTAATTTTTGTATTTCAAATTTGGAATTCGTCTTTTGGTAGGATTTTTTTTTTTTTTGGCAACCATACATTCTGTCATATTACAATTGATGTTTAATCCTTTCTTCTGGATTTCCCTCTATGGGATATTCTGTATTTTCCTTTCCGCGTCTGCTGACAACTGAACAACCTCTGCTTATT